AAATATCATGGGATCAAGAAAAGCAGAACTTATTAAAAAGAGATTGGCTAAGAAATTTAGATCTAATAAACCAGCCCCAGAGTGGAAGAGAAGAATATTGGGTAGAAAATTTAGACCAAATGAAAGAAGAAGACACTGGAGAAATACTAAAACTAATGTCTATTAATAAACTATTATCAATTTATTAACCACCTCTTAATGCTAAAATTAAGTGAATTCTTGATTGTGAACTAATTTTGTATTGAAGAATAGTTTTATCAAGCTGATTTAATACTTTTCCATTACAAATAATCCTCTGCTGATCTGGATGAATATCCTCCATTTCATAAATACGTTCCTTTAATTCTTTAATAGTACTTGATCCATCTATATCTATAATTTTTTCTTTTTCAGTTAGTGATTTAAGTTTAAGAATCATTTGAGAGCTTCTTTATTTGTTTGTTTTTAAAAGTTTTAAAATTTTTAACCAAAAAATGGATTTGACTAGAGTTGGTGATGTTTGTGAAAAAATTATTAATGACCCAGAAGAAAATATTGAATTGCTTGCAAAATTGGTTGAAATAGATGATCCATTAATATTATTAACACTTGGGAAGTTATTTAAGAATATTTGTCCACTTTATAAAATATGTGTACATTCTAATAAAATAAAACATAAAAATGCTGATTTGGAAATAAATAAAACTGACAAAGTACTACTTGGATATTACAATAAGTTTTTAAAGACTATTTGTAACAGTCAACTAGCAGAAAGTTATAAAACTGCTTGTATTTTACTTGAGTCTTTAGATCATTTTAATTTTAATGATAGATTAGTAAGTAAAGTTTTATTAGGAACAACAAAACACGGTATATCTGATTATTGTGTAAATACATTAGTAGATAGAATTAAATTTGATGAAGATTCAATTCACTTAATATTAGATTCTTGTCTTGATTATAAATTTGGACCTCAAATATGTGATGTTCTACACGAAAGTTCTTATTTAAATAAGTGTGTTCAAATGAGAATTGATAAAGAAGAAAAATATTATAAAAAGCAATATGAAAAGCCGCCAAAAATGTCAAAAGAAAAAAAGAAATTTTTTGGTAGAAAATCATTAAAAGGAAAAATGAAAAAGGAAGAGAAGTGTAGATTGATTTTGCAAAATGAAACCAGAAAAGAAGAAAAAAATGAATTAGATTGTATTGATGATAAAATATACGTTAAGACAATTAATGCTTTACAAAGATTAATTTTTACTGTTTTGAAAGAAAAAAGAACTAGTTGTTTGATGGGTGTTTTTAAAGCTGTAAGAAC